TCTAAGATATAAAAGGGTGTTCTAATGAATTTTCTACTTTCACCCTTATTTTGGTCAAGTTACCAGGTGACGTCAATCATGAAACTTTTACTAATCAAAATTGGATAAAAAAAAGATACTATTTTAAAGAAAATTGAAGAAAAATCATACTTTTTAAAAAATCAATTTTAATTTTGAAATACGCAATCTGAGAGTGAAAACCAGCCCCCAAATTTTTCTTAAATATTTTCATCTTAATCTACGTACTAAAATGCTTAAGAAACAACCCTTTTCTTATATGTGTATTCTTCTATTTTTTACTGAAAAAATGATGATTTTCAGTGTAGAGGAAAAAATCATGGTGCAAAAAATACATAAGGTGGGCTCTTCAGCCATCGAACTGATCAGCCAATCAGGAGGCTTGGAACAAGTGACCTTCCACATTAGCTTTTCCACCAATGAGCGTAGAGAGTGCGTTGTTTAACTACTGCTACACATAAACAAGAGTACAGTTCTCGGAGTCTCTACGTTCAAAGACTGTGCTGGAGGGAGGTATGCTACTGGCCGGAAAATATCTAACTTTCGGATCATTTCCCGGTCCATATATAATAACCAACCGGTCATCGTTCGTCGGAAAAGTGGACCTAGAGAACACCTTCTCTGTGGGTATGCTGTTGGGACGACCACTGAGAAGGAGGCCGTTGTGGCTGCTCAAACTTTTCAGGGTTGTTTTCCCTGGCTTGCTGGTGTAACAAAATCTGCTCTGGTAACCCCAGGATGGTTGGAAGAATGGCCATGAAAACTCAAAAAACTAGAGCAGATAGTGCTCTGGATAGAAACGTCTCCTGTTATTTTACCAGAGACGTAAGCATTGAGAACATCTTTTTGTTGGTGGCACTCATCAATCCTGGTGGTTCAGGATGGAGTTCGACGTAAGTCGCTTATCCATTAAACAACAGCGATGTCGGTAGCTGGGATACCCAGCTCTATGTTTCATGCACTGCCGATGATCGACTGTGGTATTCGGTACTTTGCTCGAAGGTATAATAACCAGACTTACTTGATTCTATTGCAAGTAGCTTCGGTTTTACTTCTACGCCATCTAGCCGATCCTACTGAACTGAAACGCTAGGGTATTTCTACAAAACTTTGAGCTTATTTATTACTATTGTTGTTGATTTTTCCAAGATAAAAAATATACTAAAACCATCTAGGAAGTGTCAAGAATCAGTATGCAAAATTTCAGCCAAATCGGTTGAGTAGTTTTCGCGGTTAGCGATTACAGCGGCTTCAGCGACTTTGCTTTATATATCAGTAAGATGTAACTCATATTAAATTAAAGTTTTTTTTTGCTTTAAATTATTTACAATCTAATACTGCTGCTTATTGGAGTTTCTACTGGAAAGAGACATTAGAATGCGTAAAAACAATTGTAGCACGAAAAGTTCATTACAGTGGACTTATTTTATTTTCTTTCATTATGTTAACCAACGATATTTGATTTTCTCTACAATTTTCTTTTTAACTTAGAAGTGATACATTTGACATTTGTTTGTAAGAATACTATAAGAGTGATTTTGTTCGTTATTGATTTTGGACTTTCATATTAGAGTTTATTAATTGAAAACGAAATCATACAAGATCTTTATTTTTCCTTACACCTCCGCCGAAAGTTCGTTCCATCTGACCCGATTTTGAGCTACAAAAAGCCTCATATCAGTCCTGCCATATGTGCGCAGAACGAAGTGCGCAGATATATAGTTATATATTCAGCACCGAGAAGCAGCAGTAGCTATACAATACATATATATATATACGGCTAACGGAGTTATAACCTTTATAGTTTATACAACACAGAAAATCGTTGGATATTTATTTACATAAATTATTGGATGTATATATATTTATTTTTTTTTTTGCACAATTTACATGTACATATAAATTTATTAATTTTANAAATATTGCGCTTTACCACTACACTTTACTTTCCTATATACATACAATACTGAAAAGTAATGTTGTGTGAGTGAGACGGCCATGACAGCCGCGACGTGCCCTGGCGCCATCTGATTCAAGCTTGACTGTAAAAGAGCCTCATAAGTTTGTTTATGTTCTGAGGAAAAGAAAATACATGATTTTTAGGAACATTTATTCAACTGGTTTATCGACTTCCTCAGGCCTTATTAAAAACAAATGGAATTTCAAGTGAATAACATTGACAAACATTTTTTTTATATATCTAACAGACAAACGTAGTACTGTTTTAAAATCATGAAGGAGCAATTCATTCAGCATTACCTGGTACACCATTTTTGTAGCCAGATACTTGCAAAGATACATATAAATTGTGTAGTAAGTTAAGTTACCTTACATGTATACCTAAAACTTTAAAAACACTCTTTAATTTCCAGAAGTGTACAGATTCAAAAAAACTTTGATAGGTACAACTTAAATTGTATACATCTTTGATTTCATTAACATTATGCCTTCTAGAGATAATATTAAGAATTTTAAAAATAGAATGTTTGTTGTAATTTGGTTCTTTCCTGAATACTTCAATGTTATCCCAGCTAAATTTATTATCATTGAAAGTTTTGCGTAAGCCACGTAACAATTTAGTTTTGCAGTTGTTTTAATGTTCCCATTTTCTCTCTTTTATAGCTATTTTTGTTTCACCTGTATATTTCGGTTGACAGTAGTTACACAGTATCTTACATGGAACATTAACCTACTGAAAATATATGGCTGGTTTTTTTGGCCATAATTTTTGCCCATAATTTTAGCCATAAAATGTGGCCAAAATTAATGGGCATGATTTTTGGTGCATATTATGGCCAAAAAATATGGCTAAAAAATATGGAAAAAAATGTCCACAAATTTTGGGTAAAAAATCTAAGGATATCGTGACCACCATCGGTCTTATGAGTTAAATGACATATTATTTAACTAACAAAAGTTATTAGGTTACCATGTGCAAGTACTAAAAATAAAACACACATTTAAAATATTTATGAGGAGAGCAATTTGGAGCTAGAATAAAAAAGTACAATACAATTACATAACTTTTTACTGTATATTTTGCTGTATCCTTACATATACAATACAAAAACAGCTACTTGCATACAATTTAATGTGTACAAAAACAATTTAATTCATTATTGCTATATTTTTTACTGTGTTATTTTATTATTAAATAATGATACACTATTTTTTCAAACGTAATACAGATTGGGAACAGCACATATGTATTCAGCTTTAAGAACATCTGAAGCAAGATGAACACAAACTTTGTGTATACGGTTTGTGTCAATCGGTGTTAAAACATTTGACACGCTGATAATTCTCTTTAGTGGCTTATTGTTTTGTTCAACTTCAACTAAATGACAAAGAGTATATTCCATCGATTGAATGGGATCCACTATAAATTCAACCAGTATTACATAATGTTTATCTACGGTTATCGCAAAAGAGTTGTCTGATCGTAATCTGCTTATATTACACGAAGTAAATAAACACCTATTTTGTACTCGTGCCATGTGTCTCGCGCGCAGACCTTTTTGTACCTTCGCGTTCCATTTTTTACCACTACACACTACCATGCCTTCTTTTTTCTCTCTCTCTCTCTTTCTCTCTTCCTCTCCCTGACCAGTCTAGAGCTTTTGTTTTCGGCAGAAGGGCCCTTGGCTTAGTTTCCCTTTTGTGGACGAGGACGCTTTTGTGTATCGAGCCGCTCTGGTAATGCGCGGTCAGATGTAGCCCTACTTTTTGGCCTTGGTACGTATACTTTTTTTCCTTACACCTCCGCCGAAAGTTCGTCACCACGGTTTTAGTTTTGTTAAAAATGAAGGTTTAAAAATCCAGTCAAAGATTTAGTGCATTATGCATTGTTGTTGATCGATCGGTCGCTCGAACAATACCACTTAAATGCACGTAGATGAGTGTACATGTACATAGATACACCTAAATATATAGCACTTATACGCTACCGATGACTGAGGAAAGGAGAAGGGAGGAGGGAGCTCTACGCTTGCCAAGACTGTAGTATATTATATAGAAACAGATTGGGCCGGGGATTTGTGCAGATTGGTTGTCCTGGCAATTTAATTTTGTGTTGTGTACTCTGTTCATATGAAATTAATACATTTATATATACATGTAAATTGTGCAAAATATATACATATATNAATATCAGATTAAGTAATAAAGACACGGTCATACATGTAAGCATCTAGAGAGCCCAAAATAAATAGATGAAGATTTTAAAACAAACTTTTATACAACCATCAAAAAAGTTGAAAATAAATTTTTCTGCATACCCCCGCCGAAAGTGCTTCATATTAGCCCTGCTCCAAAACAGCTTTAAATTAATCAATTCATAGCAAGCCTAGTGATTACGATTTTTTTTAAGAGATGTGCTTATTGCTTTGGAAAGAATCATGTCATTTCATACTGTCGAGATTCTTTTAAAGCACTGCGTTTTAAAAAATGAAGAGGTGTAAGGATGAAATAGTATATTACGTACCTAGGCCAGAAAGTGGGGCTATTACTGACCGCGCTATATTATCGGCCGAGCCGAAGGCGAGGCCGGTAATATAGCGTGGTCAGTAATAGCCCCACTTTCTGGCCTAGGTACGTAATATACTATTACTTATCAACTCACTGTCATCTATAAATAGGTATATAGATAGCAAATTGGATACAATTTTACAGTTTTACATACGTTTAGCTTTCCTTGATGTTTTTGAACCTCATTTTAATGCAAGACGTTTTATGTTTTGCTTTGCCCGTAGAATTTACCTACATACTACTCTTTAGGACTTTTAACATTGGTTTTTAGTTTGTCGAGATAACCTAAATCTCGCTTTAATTTGGAATCATGCAAAGTGCCAAATAACACATAAAATCAAACAATATGCAGTTCCAAAAAAATAATTGGAACAGTAATACTAATAATACAGTTTGCTTCGGCTTTGAAGACTTTCAACTTTTTCTACGAATAAATATTTTGTATATTTTTTCAGGAACTTTGTCAAATGACATAAAGCAGATGATCCATTCTCATATGCATGGAATAAAATATACTGCTAAGGCGTACGACCAGTTCCCAATGTATGGGAAAACAACTATGGCTATAGGAACGGTAATTAACTTAAACTTTTAATAGAAATTAAGAGCAGTCTAGAGATAGTAAAAGTTTCTTACTTTATCGATTATATTACTTTGATTGTATAGCTTCATCACACTATTTATTCAACATGTAGCTGTTTTATCGATAAGATAAGAGTAGATGCACATATTTGCCACTTAAAAAAATGAATCTAGCCTAAACTTTGCAAGATTATTAAAAATTCGAGGTAAAAAGTGAAAAATGATAAGGCTATCTGATTATTTACTTTTCTTGTTCATATTTCCATGAATCTTCCCGAAATCAAGCGGTATTTCTTGGTAGATTCAAGAATTGGCGACACTTTTTTTTGTTGTTGAAAAATTATGTAGAAAAAAGTTACAGACCCTAATAACACCACCCACTAGAATTAGGCATAAGATTTTACTTTGATTAAATTATAGTTTTCTAGACTACAGATTCGTTGAACTATGAAGAAGAGTGAAAAATTAGATTATACCCTTTCAATTCGACATCTAGTTTTTACTCTTGGCCTTGAATTCTGAATCACCCTTGCAAAGATTAGGCTTGAATTGTTTATTGAAAGGTCAAGAATATACGTCTACTCTCATTTTTCGATGAAATAGTTAGCTGTTAAATAAATAGTATTATTAAGCTACACAATTAAAGTAATTTTATCGATAAGGAAGGGAAATTCAGTTATCTTCGGCCTTACAAGGAAACAAAACGTTAATGCGAAATTTTAATGATGCTCTAAATTACTTTCAGCTGGACATGGATATAAAACAGTTGGAGGAAAATTTTCAAGATGTTCTAAATTCTCTTATGTCAGCAAAACCAAAACGACCAGGTTGCTTCATCACAAGAGTTACAATTCTGTGTTTACCTTCCCCTGAACGATTCAAGATTGATATTTCACCTTATATCAAGGAAGAACAAACTGCAGAAGTTCCAGGACATGATGCTTTAGATGAAGAAGATGAGGAAGACAGTGCTGCGGTGGCTCTTTCTGTTTAGATTCGATTGCTTATCTGTTATGTGTACATATTAGTATAATGTTTTATAAGTGTAATTTTTTGTTTATGTTTGTTCTAAATCAACTAATACTTCTGAAATAATATAGCTTTTGGAACTTTATTATAAATTTTGAAGATCTTATTTCAATTTGTATTAATAATTTTGCATTAAATAATAATTAAATAGTCACATAAGTCGTGGGAGAATATTGACTAACAACTTTGAACCGATAAGAGCGCGCCAAGGAGCTAAGACTAGCCAACCAGAGCACTTAAATATTTTATGTATAGAGGTAAACACAATACAGAGTCTTGCCTTTCTGGTGCCATCTCAGTTGAGCTAGGTTGCCATTCCCACAGTATTATATGTAAGAATTTTCGTACCTAGTAGTGCATTTTACCAGGATGATCTAGTGATCCTAGTAGTAGTGATCATAATGTGTTCTGCCATGTTGATCTAAAAAAAGCACTGTAGATATATATTTCCTTATCCGTAGCACCATCGACATGTGTGTTGAGTTATACGCAGTATTATTTGACCACTTTCTCTTGATTCTCTATTCTCTTGACCACTTTCTACAATTGTTTCTGCCGTTTTTAAATCAACACGGCGGCAGCCAGTAGAAAAAACGTGTATTTATTCCAATCACTTCTTTTAGCATCATTGGGTATATTTTTTTTTCGTTCGGTCGGTAAGTCGTTCTGATGACCCATCATGCCGCTTCGTTTCTTCACATTTTCTAGAGTTGCAGACTTTACATCAGTTCTGTGGCTGAACAAAGCTGCACTAGAAGGATCGTCAAAAACTGTGGTAAGATATAAAGATTCATCTACGATTGTTGATAATCATTAATTACGATGTACAACAATGTATATAATCTTGCCAAAATTCAAATGTGCTACACATAACAAAGTTTTTTTACATAAGGATATAGCTTTGTTCAGCCTCAGAACTGCGATCTAGAGTCTAAAATACTTGAGAAAACTGAGTGGCATATTTATGTATGGCGCTAACGCATAAGTAGAAAGAGATACAGCATTGAAGGCAAGTATTTGTTTAAAAGGTAGTCTTATGTGTGTAATTAAAAAAAGAAATTTATTTTCATATAATTAATTAACTACTTCTCATAAAATATTTTCTTATATAAAATTTAATTACTACTTTTCACTATACTCTGATGGAAAGAGGAATCTTTCTTACTACTTCGTGAGAAAAAACATCCGCTTCCCGATGCAGAATTGGTGAAAACCGCATACAACCTACGGGAGGAATTAAAGAAAGCCTCAGATAACTTGCTTGTCACATACCTGTGACATAAAAAGCTTTATTTTTTTCTTTCTATGTGAGTAATATACTATTTTATCATAACTGAATTATTGAATTAAAAAATTCATATAGTACGTATTTAAAATTTGTTAAAATTTCAACGTAAACAGTGAAAAATTTTACAAATAAAGTGACCCATATTTTAGAACAATGATACGTAAAAAACGTCCCTAATGACTTAGTATACTTATGTTCCTAAATTAATAGCATCTTTAGTTTGCTTCATAGATAAAGGAGTTACCATAAATCGTTAAGTTTAATATTCATGGTCTAAAGTAATGGAATCATACAGATGTATCTGCTGGTTTGACCTATTAGATGTACTCATTTTCACGTGCACTTTTCTGTATGATTTCTTTGTTCAATGGTTTAAATACAGCGTTATGGCAATTTTTGTGGTGCAATCTTTAAATATTGTGCATAATAAAAATAGACAAAATTTTCTTACACAAACTTAGTACTAAACAGCTTTAATTATTGCTAAGTTGTTGTATTTGCAAGTCATTGCTAGCACTAGTAGAAAAAAAATAATTATCAGTGAATAAACCGTTTTTAAAATGTAGACATAAATGAAATATTAAACAAATTGAATACTTCAGTTTTAAAAATCATAATGATTATTGAAAATATATAAATTATAAATATTTTGGGCCATACGAGTGATGGCACTAAATGTACACAAGTACTAAATTGCTGAATCTATTAAATTTTTTATACCTTACTTAGGTAGTCGGAAAAGTACTACGGACGGCCATTAAAGATATACATTTGTAAGTTAGTGATTATGAACAGCAATATTGGAGTTAAATTTTAATAATTTTGTGGCTTATTTCTTAGCAAAACCGTGACAAGAAGCCTTTTAGTATCCCAAATCAACTATATTTCTAGATATAAACTTTACTACAATAGTTTTATAAATAGTAAATTGTACTGATTTTAGTAATTGAGCGCTTAACTGAACAAGCAGGCTAGAATACTAGCTTACCAAATACATAATAAATAAATAATAATAGTAGACTGTTTTAGACCTTTAGGGATTTTTAAGCGCTTGGGATTTCATTTATTTATTCGTTAAAGAAGCGGCCAATCGTACTGAATCATTGGCAATTGAACAAATTATAACCTAACAATCAACGCATACAGAAGAGCCTATTGGATTTTTAGGGATTAAGCGCTAGGGGTATTATTTATTCAACAAGTAGTATTGGTCTATTAATTAATCAACTAATTAATAAACAGTACAGACAGTAAAGCATATAAGGTTTCTCAGGATTCAGGAGGCTTGGGCGATTTTAAATCAAATGCTGGCTAGCTCTGAAATTGAGAGATTACGTACATAAATTATGTTACATTTTTTTATGAAAAAAAATTAGGTAGATCAACACACTTGTTTTCGAGAAAATCACTTGTGACAATTCGTCATTTTAATCCGTATCCTTATGAAACCTGAAATTTAATTGACTACCATACCGCAATAAAAAGCTGTGGGCCCACACATTAAATTCGAATTTGAAGTTTAGATTATAAAAAATCTATTATTTCAAAAAAAGGATAGGATCAACATGTTAAACTTTGAGAAAATAGCGAGGTAAACGTCGAACGTAAGAATTGTTTTGTTCAGGTAGTGTGAGTGCGCATGTGCCGTAAAAGTTGCAACAGTGCATCAATAAGATGGCGTGCCATTTAAATTAACAGCATACGTGAACGCGAATAATGGTACATTCTGTATACTAGTAATTAAAAAATAATTTTAATAAACTGAAAGAAGAAGATGAGGAAGACAGTGCTGCGGTGGCTCTTTCTGTTTAGATTCGATTGCTTATCTGTTATGTGTACATATTAGTATAATGTTTTATAAGTGTAATTTTTTGTTTATGTTTGTTCTAAATCAACTAATACTTCTGAAATAATATAGCTTTTGGAACTTTATTATAAATTTTGAAGATCTTATTTCAATTTGTATTAATAATTTTGCANAAACTGAAAATTAAATGGTGTAGTTATTAAATAATAACTAATAAAATATAATTAACTTCGTTAAAAGCATTTATTTACTGTTCTACAGCATTTACAACAAACAATATATACACTATTTTCTTTTATCCAGCTGATCAAAAATATTTTGGATGATTCTTTTCTTGGTGGTAACTCGTGGTTTGTTATTCACATTTTTCTCTAATAGGAATCCCAAACAGTCTAATCCTCCAGTTTCAATTGCTTTGAGGAACATTGTTTAATCAATACCAACCTTAGAAATTGTTGTTTTCATAGCTGGTTTTGTGTTCGTTAAATCTATCATTAAGTTCTTATTATCTCGGATATTTTGTAATTTATCTTTTGTATTTAATATAATTTCAATACTTTTTGTATTTTTTACAATTTCAGATGTGTCAACACAAATCTCACGAATAAGTTTTTGTAAAACTAAAACATCATTTAACGTACTATGTGCATTCATAACATCACTTTTATTTAAAAAGTCATTGGCTAAATCGACAGATTCCAGTCTAGCACTAGTATAAATACATAACATCAGAATAGACAAGGTGCAGTGTTGTCAGTTTTATAGTGACAGGGCCGTCAACTTTATACACGGTACCTTGGAAAAACTAATACATTTTTTAATATCTATTTCCGCAATGACTTTTCCACGTATTATTGTTGTTTCGTTGACACATGTGTATAATCAATATGACTGTAAAAAAAATAATACAAAGAATCATTTGCATGACAAGTGTCCTACAGGGGCCCCTTCATAGATACGACACCAAACGCCCAAGCCTCCTTAAGTGCTTGAGATTTAATTCATTTATCTTTTCATCAAGTGTATAAATTAATTTAGTTATTACATACCAGCGAAGCCAGTAGAGCGCATTTGGGTTATTGGGGATTAGCTGCTTACGATATCGATGTTTAAATTATTAGTAGTAAAGCGTATTTGGTTTGTTGTAATGTAAGAAAATTAGTACAGTCTAATCCGAACGCACATACACATGTAAATGACGACCACGAAGTGTACGCGCAGCCCCTAGTAATAATACAGTGAGCCCTAGCTCTTGTAGTAAGCGGTCGCTCTTTAGTCGTTAAGGTAACAATGTATATTAGGCAATAAGTTCGTTCTTCAATATCTTACTAATATATAAAGCAAAGTCGCTAAAATCGTTGTAATCGCTAACCGCGAAAACTACTGAACCGATTTTGCTGAAATTTTGCACACTGATTCTTCATGATTCCGGGATGGTTTTCGCATAGTTTTTTTCTCAAAAAAGTTAATAACAATAGCGATAAATAAGCTCAAAGTTTTGCTAAAATAAGCTAACTTTGCGCTTTAGTTTAGTAGAATCCGCTAGGTGGCGTCTAGGTAAAATTGAAGCCACCCACAACCAAAGATAGTGAAGAGTGGTTATAAGAAGCCCCATTGAGTAGAGAATCATCGCAGTCGATCATCGGCACTACACCAAGAACAGAGGAGTCCGTCGTGCAGCTGGGCCTCCCGGCTACCGATGACACTCTTCTTTGATGGGCAAGCAAAATAAATCGGTTTTTATCCTGGATCCCCAAAATAAACGAGTGCCACGAAAAAACAGGCTTTTGCCAGGCATCCGACCTGGTGCTGTCAGAAAATTTTCTGCTTCATATTCGAAACAGGGAAGACAGTCCTGAAGAGTACGGGCAGCCTGGCCTCCTTAGTGGTCGTCCCACCGGCATATCTACAGAGAAGGTATTCTCCAGGCCCACTTTCCTGACTACCGATAAATGGTTGGTTATCTGGGAAACGATCTAAAGACAAGATATTCTTTG